TCTTCATTTAGACTGTTAAAATTTTACATTTGAAAGTGTTACACTTCTTTAGTTTTACTTTAAATGTATGTAAAAACTGTATGTAAAACATATGTTTAAGTTTATGATTATTTCAAGATTCACTTTAACTTTGTGTTGAAATATTTTAAAAATGTTGATTTCCTACAATGAAATGTAGGAAACCAGATGTTAAAATAATTCAAGGTAATGTCCCACGAGCACCGCCTTATATACCCTGTTACGTGGGTTTTTCAATTCGAGTGCTGGCATCATCACCGACGCCGCCTAGCGGTGCATGTCTGTAGCTATACTCACGGCGTGATTGTACAATGCGTTTCATAGCGCTCGCACGCGTGCCCCCATCACGTCGTGCGGGACAGCGTGATAGCACTGTGCGGACACGGTGTGAGACGCACACGTGAGGGCAATATGAGCTCGCACGAATTGTTATCTGGGATATACAGAACCAGTCTCCAAATCCCTCCATGGCCTTCAAGACCTAAAAGGGTTTTGAGTACTATGGAGAGGTTGTATATGCGAACCTAAAATTTGTTTTAAAATATAAATATTTTATTCTGCTTTTTGTGCTGATATAGTAGTTAAAAGCAACGGACAGTGTCTAAACCGTAATAAAAATATGTTCCGCGAACATGTCCACTCATGTTAACTAAAATCTGCTTGAAATTCTACAATTGTATCTGGTTGTTTAAAAGACGGACCGACTACATACATATGGTAAAATGTATTATAAATTTCAACATGAAGCATTGCACTTCCGTTCTTGCAGAAAGAACAAAGTTCTATGTCATAATGATCCTGCTTAAAATTTGGTCCTACTAGTACAATTGTTAGTTTCCTTATGTGCTGTAAGAGATGTAAAAGAATTTCCCAAGCATTTAAATATTCTCTTTCTAAAGTATTTAGTGCTATCATGTGCATAACATATTTATTTTGTTGAAATGGGTGTAGTGGATATAAACCAGCAATCTTCATTCCATAATAGAATGTTAACGGTCCTGATGCATAATCACAGTAGAAACATATAGAATATATTGCAGGTGCATTTAAGCTTTCTATGGCAGGACTCACACATGTTGTCAAAAATGTATTCATGTCATAAAATGGTTCTTTTCGAAGAATAATATTAGTGAATTTTAACACAATGAATTCGCATAAAAGAACCCAGATATGCATGTTGATATACAATATAAACTGGTGGCATTTTGGCTCGTGCAAACCTTGAAATACCTATATATGGTCCCTGCAATAATTGTCCGAATAACACCTCTTGCAATGTTCCAAATTAATCTGTCTATGACAAATAGAGCATGATTTTGCAAAAAGAATCATCTGTTCTTCATACGGCTTTAGCTTACCACAACAATTACTTTAGAAAAAAAACTCATGGTGGAATATTTTGTTTGGCGTATGATATCAATTTAAAAATGAA